TGATTGAAAAAATTAGTGACGAAAAGCTCTTGGGGAATATGTTCTCGTTGTTCACATCTAATTTTAATTTTTCATTTTATTATTAAGTGTTTGTTTGTTTTATTTACTTAATTTTTGGTTTTTGAGAAAGAATTGCTCTGTGTAGCTTAGTGCCATTGCTGGATCTTGCACTGTAGACCAGGCTGGCCTCAAAATCACAAAGATCTGCCTGCCTCTGATCCCTGAGGCCTGGGACTAAATGTGTGCAGGACCACCTACTGCCTCTCTAGTTTTATTTATTTATGTAATTATTTATGTATTTATGTATTTATTTATTTATAATTACACTCATGATAATAATTACATTCGTGGTATTCATGGATTACATTCACAGTATTCATTCAATAATTATATTTATGATATTCATGAATTACATTAATTTATTGACTTAATACATTCATGATATTATTTCTTCATTCTACTCTCCATTTGTGGGACTTTTCCATCACACAAAACAGACATTCTGTACTTAGGAAGTCATTGCTCTTTTTTTCTTTCTTCTACATCTTGAGATAATGTCTAATTTTTCTGTCTCCATGATTTGTATATTCTATATATGTTACCTCAAACAATTCAATAGTGGTTGTCCTTTTTTTTTGAAGTTAAATCAGATTTTATGTACAACAGTAGGAGAAATAATGCAGATAGCATGAACATAAAAACAGGTTATACTTGAAAAGTCCAAGATTATTTTCAACAGTACAGTATTTTCTCGGTGGAATATAGTAAATATGAGCCTGGTAGTGGTGAACAGCTTTAATCCCGGTACTCGGGAGACAGAGCCAGGTGTATATCTGTGAGGTCGAGGCCAGGCAGGTCAGAACCCAAAAACCATATCAAGAATCAGGCCAAATATGTATGCGAGCATTCTGAAAAAGTTATCCAAGTCAGCTTTGGTCAGTGGTTGGTTCTGGACGCGATGCAACATCTTTTCACCTAGGGAGAGAAAGTGGAACACTGGTAAAGTGAAGCTCAGAACTGGGATCCAAGACTCCCTTGGGGACAGGATAGGGGAAGAATACAGACAAGCCCAGGCCCAACCAACCAGTCATCTATACATACCTCCCCAGGATCTTAGAGTCCTCAGGAAATGAAAATGGCTGTAACCTAAAACTGTTTCCCTTAGAATGGACTTTGAGGAGCATCTGGATTCCCACAGTCTTGGGAGGCTCAATCAGAATCTATGGTGCCACACAACTATTATCTGTCAGGCAGTCAACCCTCAAGGGCATATCTGTCAAAATCACCTACCTCGGGCCTGGTGGTAAGCTTGCTGGCTCCCCACACTCCGAATCATATCCATCAACCACCGCTTTGCTCTGAGTGGTCCAACCACAGTGACTCGAGTCTGGCCTGAGGCTGTAAACCACCTCTCCAGTTGAATGAGGGTGTTGCTGTGTAGCTCGATGCTTCTGAGGTATAAGTCGTCATGGCCTGAACACACAAGATACAACAAAAGGATTTATAAGCCACTAGCACTATGTGAGGAGGCTGGAATTGGGTGGCACTTACCTCCAAGATTAAAACCTGTCCTGAGTGAAGCTATAAATAAAGACAGTGGATATTTAAGAAGAGATAGAAGAACAGGGTGTGGCAGAAGAACAGGGTGTGGCAGAAGAACAGGGTGTGGCAGAAGAACAGGTGTGGCTGTCATGGTGGTGCACTCCTTTAATGCTGGCACTCAGAGCACAGCGACAGACACATCCTTGCGAGATCAAGGGCAGCCTGGATGATAAACCTAGTTCCAGGCCACACAGGGCTCTATAGAGGGACACTATCTCAAAAATCAAAAGCAAAAATCCACACAATGTTTAAGAACCGGGCAAGGTACACACTCCATCCTGCAGGAAAGCCCCTTAAGACAGAAGAAATAAGCAAGTTCTGGAAGTCCATCAAAATTGATCAGACCTCACCAAGTGCACTCAAGTAAACTGGGAGGTGATCAAACACACCTTTAATCCCGGCACTCTGGAGGCAGAGGCAGGGGGATATCTTGATCTACAGAGCAGATTCCAGGACAGCCAAGGCTACACACAGACACTCTGTCTCAAAATGACAAAACAAAAAGGGTAGGTAAGCAGTCAAGACTGTCAGAAGTCAGGCTGAGGCAGACAGAGCTGGGGAGAAACACAGTCCAACAAGTCTGAAAGAAGCAGAGACCAGCTGAGCCCCTGGGAAAGACCACACAATGGCATGTTGAGATGCTTGTGGTCTCTCACCCATGCTGGGTAGGTTCAGTGACACAGCTGTCTTGGAGTCATTTCTGCTCCTGTGGGTAACCCCTCACTCCTACCCCTAAGGAGCCCCAATAAATCTCATTGGTTCACCAAGTTCTACTGATGGCTTCCTTTGCTGTTATGGGTTCCCTCTCAGGGCTGAGTACATACTTGCCCACATCTCCCCAGGAATGGTG